GGTTAGGGACTATGTAATCCTGGACACTATGAACTCTGGCCCATTCAAGGCACTGGCCATTTTGAACACTGGACACATCGTGCCCTGGACATTATGAACCCTGGCCATTTCGAACACTGGACACATCGTACCCTGGACATTATGAACCCTGGCCATTTCGAACACTGGACACATCGTGCCCTGGACATTATGAACCCTGGCCTTTTGAATTTACCCTATCTGCAGCCAGTTGGCCACATTTGGACCATGTAATCCCTGGTCAATGTGAACACGGGCCAATTCAAGGCACTGGCCATTTCGAGCATGGACACATTGTGCCCTGGACATTATGAACCCTGGCCTAAATAATACGCACCCTCTCTAAGGACCCCACAAGACTTCTTCTGCCGGCCTAAGGGCCCCGTGCCGGTCACTGAGAATCCCCTGTTGGTTTGTAGAGGGTTCGTGTCAGCAGCTCTAAAGACCCCACACCCGTCTGTAACGGCTCCACACCAGCGTCTATGAGATCCCAGAGCAACGCCTGTAAGGACCCTCACCGGCGCCTCTGAGAGAATCACACTAGCACCTCTGTGCGCCCGAACCGGCACCTGCATGGCGGCCCATACCAATGCCTCTAAAGGCCCCTTACCGGCGGCTCTGAGGGCCCTATACGCCGGTGATTCTGAGGGTGCTACCGATAACCAAATGCATCAGACAAGCCCTTAGTGTAGCTGAGCTTTAATCCCATAGATACCGGCCTTCCGAGGGCGCCACGTCAGTGCACTCATTGCCCCACACCCCTCCCTCACACCCGGAGCGGGTAAACTTGTGTTATACCTATATTATAGCAACGATTTTACCACCGTTGTACGTTATATATTTCTCAAAGTTTTGTCAAAATGGTCTAGTATAAAATCTGGCCTGCCAAACTCATGGCCAAGGCCAGGCCCAAACCAAAGCGGGATGACAATAGCAGATGTTGTGAAATCGATACTGTATCAGCAGAAACCATTCAGATGGCTAGGAAAATGCCGTGTGATGATGTTTAGATGGAAAACAAGAAGGAAAGAAGTCCGGAAAAGGGAAGAAAGATCCTTTCACGCTGCCTCAATGTTGAGGGGGCGCCGCCCCCTCGGCTCTCAAGTTGGGGGGGGCAAGCGCCCCCGCTGCCCCCCTGTTCCCGGGTCTATGCTACTGACTTGTTCGATTGGAGAGGTCCTTGCTGCATTTCCCGCCTACGCCGATCATGTGGCTATGGTCGGTATAGCTGACGTCCACCTTTAGAGACGCTCGGTTCATGTTCTGGAACAGAAATATCGACCTTATTGACTGGTGTGCTTAAAGTTGACCTAAGGAGGCATTTGCGACTCAGCAGAGCGGTCAGTTATTTATGTGAATTATGTAAGCTTGCAACACAAGTTTAGTTCATGTTTTATCGTGGCCACAACAGCCATCACACATTTCTGTTAATGATTCTAGGAAAAAGTCATCGATATATAAGCACAGGTATTTCACCGTAATAAAAGTATAGGAAGCCATAGCCCGACACCGGGCCGGGCCGATAAGTACAATACAATACAATACAATACAATTCACCTGTTGAAATTAGATGCTATTTTTCGAGCCTCACTTGTTGCAATTACTGATAAGTCACCTATTGAGCATATTACCAGGTGCCAAGAAGGTTTCCTATGTAGGTACAAAAGAAATAGCAGCAATGCCACCCGTAAAGTAACATCAGTGACGTCACTATGACAGCGATATGACGTCACACTGACGTTGACCTCACCCTTATTCCGAGCTCGCGGTGGATGATGGACCGGGCCGCGTCCACGTCACTAGAGAGACCGATGACACGAACCTGGGGGTCTGACCGCCGGCCACGTCAGTGACGTCACAGACCACCATCAGTGACGTCACATAACACCATCAGTGACGGCGTACCTATAATACATCAGTGACGGCGTAAAATACAAAAGTGACGTCAAATATCACAACAGTGACGACACCTGACCCATTGGTCATGTCATAAAACATGTCTGATGTCAAATAACACATCAATGCCGTCATATAACTCTTTAGGAAGTCATGCGATACTTATGGCATCAGTGACGTCATACGCTACAGCGTGACGTCATATGATACATCAGACGTCGTCATACCACACGAGTGACGTCACTCGTGTGTTATGTAGGAGGCAGGCATCTCCGAATGAAGCACATCAGTGAGTTCATTTGACACATGAATGACGTCACGTCAACACACTGTAACATAACACAGCACTACTCTCTTCAAACACTATCGTAGACATTCCGGTGTCGCCGTCCCCCTTAGTCTCTCACCTCGTTTCGAGGAGCAGTCTCTAGGCCACTGTATACGCGTGTTGGTGTCGGATTCAATCTGTAATAAACCACAACAGGGGCGCTTGATTGACAGGACCGATACGATAAATACCAGATGGCGTCACTAGAGAATGCTGATGTCATGGTGAGAACTTTTCGGGAGTAAACAACTGCATCTATTACATAGTTTTAGATTTTGGAAACATATTTTTCAATAAGCTGATCCTGAATCTTACAAAATATCCTAACACAATATAGTTACGAGTATTACAGAGAGTTCCTCAGAAAAAGGCCGCACCATTCACACGATGACTTCGCGAAAACGTACACGTTACAGGCATGCTAGTGACTACGGCCTGGACAGGACCAAACACGCAGAGTCGCAGCGACACAGCAGCAGACCCGCAGTACAATACCCGTCCGTCATCAGAGCAGAGACGCATCCAACAACACAAATAAAAACCACACAAGGCATACAACGCAGGAATACAAAGACAAACAACACAAGCCATACAGCACAGCAATGCAACATACATACCTACTTACATAGAACACCATAGAATAGAGCACAAATTGAACGGGCTAGCCCGCCGAAACAGAATTATCACAGAAAACCACTGTATAAATTGAAAGGATAAGATGAAATGATAGGCTGCTAGGAAAGGATGATAGGATGAGAAAAAATGATAGGATACACTCACATCAGCTTCAAAAGGACACACTTCTATCAAGTTTCTATCCTGAGCGCACCTAAAAAAAAAACACACTGAACACAGAAAAGCGACAAAGCCATTTTTATGAGCAGAAGTGCTTCCGGCTATTGCATTCACGAGACACTTGTGAGAGTTTTCCGGCAACGGCCATATAGTGCGGCGGGGCGAATGCAGATTGTAAACAGTGTTTCTAAAAAAGTAGTAAAGTGACCATTAAGATAGTAACAACTAAAATGCAGACCCGCAATCTTTAAATCATAGGATTTCGTTCAGCTTTTCATTAGAATGAAATAAGCGATCGTGTATGCATATTTGAAAAATAGCCTCAAACTCAAACTAAAATCAAAGATGAGCCCGTGTATCAAGATCACTATCAAAGAGAAAAGTCAATCGGTCGTCGCTGTCCCTTGATATTTAAAGCCACTGACGAGACTGATCTGATTAGAGGCAAATTGCCTCTAAATCATCAGAACAATTTTTCGGCGAGGCATCCTGAATTTTTAGTCTTTGTATTAGTAGCTTTACATCTGAGAAATTATGGTCGCATTGATTTAATAATGGTCATTTGTATCAGGCTCAAACGGAAATGCACACACATTAATTTGCCTGATAAAGGTCGTATAACCTAAGGTCATCTACCAAGGGGCCTAAATAGGGTTTCAGTAGGCAGGGCAGATAATCTTCAATGTGTCAACATTTATTTAGAGTAACAGGTAGGGGAGAGTGGGGCAAAGCGGCCACCCTAACGCTTCTCACGATGCCAACCCTTGATTTTTAAACTTGGAAAGATTCTTTCTATACCAATGTGATCCGTATTAAGTTGCCTTTTATTTCAACTGCGTTTTATTTCCAAAGGCGTTCACATATGAAAGATATTGACAAAACTTTAAACCTATGCATATTGGCCACTTTGCCCCATACCCTGGGGCAAAGCGGCCACCGGCGTCTTCTCAAGTCCCGACATGAGAAACAAAATAGTTGCCTCGTGTACGACTAGGGTATTTGATGGTGACAAGGTTAAGCGAGGATGGATGTTTACTTTATCATCTTCCATCTGTAGGTAAACAAAGAAAGGATTTTCATGAAAAAACATTTAATTGCATTATTTGGTAACTCATGCAACTGGAAAGTGGCCAAGATGAATGCATGACGACACATTTGAATATAAATAATGTTTTTATCCAGATGGAAGCAGCTTATGGCCAATTGGGGGGTGGCCACTTTGCCCCGGCTACTTTGCCCCGCGCATACCGTCCGAGACAAAAATATTCCAGCTTAGCTATTAGTGGGGTAAAAAACATTAAAATTGGTAGAATACATGTACGATAACCATGCAATGCATGGACAAGAACGCTTTTAAAAATTCCAAACGGTTATGGAATAACATAACATTTAAAAATTGTAAACATAGTTGGTAACCTGGCAAGAAATGCTTTTCCGTGTTTCACAGAACAATGATGATGGGCCTGAAACCCCGGTCTGGCTCATTCGAACGACCGTGAAGAGAAGTATAATTGGAAACCATAAATTGGCCTGACGCCAGCTATGAAGGGCTAAAACGATGGGTGGCCGCTTTGCCCCGGGTGGCCGCTTTGCCCCACTCTCCCCTACTACCATTTCGCCTTACCTTCATAAAGAACTCCTCCACGGCAACTGGAGATCCTGCGAAACGGGAGAAAGTGTCACAAACTAGGGATATAAAATCTCACAAGGGATATAAAATCTCACGATACGGGTGCTCTCGCCCCAAACTCACAGGCTAACACGCACAACAGTTTATCACAATGGGTTAACGCACACACGAGACAGTAGTCAAGAGAAAAGAGTGTCACATCAGGTGTTCAAAGTAACAAGGTTTGTGCCACTTTTACAAGTTGTGCTACAATCACTATCAGAGATAACTGAACGAGTAGGGTATATGCGGAAGTGGAATCCAAGGAAGTTTGGAATACGCACTGCTGTCGTTTTACAAAGGCTTGATAGGTCCGAAACCTACCAAAACTAGTGTTTTTTAACATTCACCCTATTTATTACAATGCGCAATAGGATGATTCCGAATTCCGATATCATCAAATTAGGACTGCGACAAGCATGAATGATAACCTCATTGTGCTCATGTCTAAAAGTGGCCGAAAAAAACGAAACCCATGAGAGGAGCAAAATCTAAATTCTTTGAGCGTGTTTTTTTATTTTGTTGTTCGGACCTTTTTGAGATGACCACGAGGCTATCGTTCATAGTTGTCGCAATCATCATAACAATGTTCAAAATAACGTTTCATGCCATCAAAACTAATCAGAATTACCATAATCATATGCGGCGGAACAGGGAGGACACCGGGGCATCGTGCCCCCCTTTGATTTTGGCATTTTAACATTAGCCCTATGGGCGTTGCATGGAAAGAATGGGACCAAAAGTCGGTAGTGCCCCCCTTTGATTGAAGGTGTTCCGCCGCTACTGACCATAATAGCTCTACCTACTAATTTCGGGAATTGACCCCTATAAAATATGTATTTAGAACCTTTCTGTAAAGTGTGTCCCCACAGTGTTCAACACCACCTTTACTAATCCGCCATTGGGGGGAGGGGGATGATGAGAATCCTGACAGCGATAGGTACGAGGCCGTATGGTTATTGTTGTTCGGCATTCGTGAAAAGGTCCAAATGTTGACGAAATCAGTCTGCCACTTTCGGTGATTCATCAGCCGAGTATATAATATAACCAGTAAAACGCCTTTTGGGTGAAGAACGAGCCAGCGAGATAGTGAGCCCTGCACGTGCGGAAGGGCGAGAGGGTACTTCCAACGGGCTTGTGCAAAGTACCCTTCTAATCGGTCGCTAGCGGTGTACCAAATTTGAACGCGATCGGCCCAGCCGTTCCTGAGATCTGGAAGCGGCATTCTGCACGTGAGCACGTGCAAACGGGGTCCAAAGTGACTTTTGCACGGCACCCTACTAACCGGTCCCCAACCGTGTACCAAATTTGAGCGCAATCGGCCCAGCCGTTCTCGAGATCTGGAAGCGCCCCCTGCACGTGCGCTCGTGCAGTAGCACCCTAGCCGCAACACATGGGAATGCATGGCCTGATGGGTGCCTACCTGTATGCCAAGTTTCAGCGAAATCGCCCCAGTAATTACACTTTACAGAGTTATTGAAATGGGAACAAATTTGGCACCTTTTCTTTTTGTAGGTATTTGGCACGTGCAGTGGGGGTCACTTACATAGATCAAGGGTATCCGACCTTTGGTAGAGGGGATGCAGCTACCCTACAAAAATGATCGCGAGACAATCGCCCAAGCGGCTGCTGAGATATGAGCCTATCAAAATCACTACTTTTGCAAAACAGCCTGAACAGTGAACACCCTTGATTTTTCACGTGGCACGTGCTACGACGGTCACTGAGATGCATTAAAAGTAGTCAATTACGGGGTAGAAGGGATGGGCCGGGCCCGGCCGCTTATACTGAGATTTTTTTAAGTTATAATGAAAAGACTTCGCTTCGCTCGCTGCGCTCGCTCGCTCGTAATCAATTAAGTTAAGTGTTAGCCCTCTAAACACTGGCGGCTGCATTACACAACCACATGCACGAGTGAGTAGTAAGGCCTGAACCGGGAATTCAAACGTTACCTCTGTCATTCAGGCGAAACGGACACCCATCTATTCGGTGATATGCTTTGGCAGTTGGGATGTTCGAGGCCCCGGCGTCCAGATAGCGACGCTAAAGTACACTGAATGCTAACTGATACGATATGCATGTACATTAATCACCTTATGTAAGCGGAATAAAGTATTGGCTGACATCAGTGCTTGCAAAGTGACGTAGTGAACAATACCACCGTCTGAATGCTCAAATCTGCTGATGGTAACTTTGTCTCAGTTTCATCGGATCCAAACCCACGAGCCGTTGGGCGGGGGGGGGGGGGGGAGAGGCATTAACTTGCTCCTTTTTTACGTTTTGTGTGATATTACCGAGCCCTGATAAGCTACGAACTTGAAACTGGGCATAGCTTCCATTAAGTACCTATGCTATACTGGGGTGAATTTTTGGTGATGGTGGACTCAAGATGACGTCACAGTGACGTTCGTTAGGTGGCACGGGCGGACATCGATAGCAGCGCCTCTATCGGTCACTAGGGAAAGCTGGGCTGTAGGCGACGGAATACCGGCTGAGTTGTCACACGTTGAATAGGTTTATAGACATCAGTCTTGTGAAAAAGTTGAATTTTTGCCTTCAATATTTCTACAGGCAATTTTAGAAGTGTCTTCACATTGATTACAAAACCGTTTAGATTATTGTATTAACTTCAAGCCTTCCCTATTGTTCTTGATGATGCGGGAACTATTTCTAATTAGTGTTTCTAGCTTAGTAAAAGAACATATTGTGCAAACGATGATAAAAGCATAAATGGAAGATTTTAAACGCAATTTTCTCTAATAATTACTGGTAAATTATCTACACATCAAGGAAAAGGTGCATGCTAACTGATAATTTAAAGTTCTTGGGGCCAGTTGTTTTCTTCTTTTCTTACGTCTCCCCAATGGCCGCGAATACACTTGTGATAACACCTATCGTATAAGGTTTTGCCGATTTCTGATGAAACACTGGGACACTGGGCATGAAACTCAACGGTAAATGAACTGCACAGCACCTGCTGGCATCCTGCCACAACTAAATACACTTTCAACCAGTTCCTGACCAGTGATTGATTGACCCTTTATATTCGGTCCCAACTCCCATATATCGGATATATCGTGAGGAAACTTCAAATGAGATTCACAACAAATTTGGACTGGGACACAACTGCGGCTAGCTGTTCCGGAATATGTGTGCAACGTTTCACTTCTCTATTTAGTATCTCTTCGCATTGCGACGATATCATAGAAATAAGGGGAGGACTGGTTGCTTCCCCCCCCCCCCCTCCAGCGGCCGGCGGATGGCGCGGAGGCCCAGCGGCCGCCGGGCTAAAGCAGGCAAGGTCCTTAGTTTTTGGGTTGCTCGATAACCATTACCCAGTTTTCGTAAAGCGGGGATCAAATAAAAATGCAAAATAATGTTCAACCAATCAAATGATGAAAGGAACTGACTTTATCAGCAAAAATGACTAGCAATATCCAAATCACATTATATCCAAGAAGCACAAAAGACAACGAGAACGCAAATCAGCAATTAAAACCAGGAATGATACGCTTTTTTTAGAAGTCTCACCGTCTCGTCCTTGCATTATGCTGGTCAGTGTTGCTAGCCACCAAATCTGCCCTCGACTACCGATTTCCATGACGACGCAAACTCACGGCAGCAGACCCGCAAGTCAAGTGTGTAGGCCAAGTGTGTGTGCACTGTGCAGGCCATAACTTCCATAGGCGCGGGAGCCGGGGGGCAGTGGGGGCAGCTTGCCCCCCCCCCAACTCTGGGGCCGTGGGGGCGGTGCCCCCACAGCTTTGAGACGGAATACCACACTTTTTTTGCAAATGTTTTCTTTTGTTGTTGAAAAAGCCGAGGGGTGAAAAATAAGTGGCCTAAAACCGGTGAGAAAACTAGATTTGGGGGTACCCTAGGTTAATCTCTATTATGGTGTGCCTCCCCAGTCGGAAAGTAGTTCCCGCGCCCCTGATAACTTCTGTCCACGTGACGTCACTAATCACATCAAGCGCCACAGAAGCGGCTCGGACTGATTCTCTAACCTCTTTCAGGTCATCTGGAATATCATTTAAAAAAATCGAATTATCTAAGTCCACGGATCAAGTAGGCCTTTAAAGCACTGGCGCTAATTTCTAGTGGTCATGGCGGCCGTAGCCCGCAGCAGGGGGGGGGGGGGGGCGGAACAGGTTTTCTCGGTCCTTACCTGATCTGATAGATTCCCTTATCCAGCGGTATCCCCCGTACACCTTCCACGCTCATTTCACCCAACAGACTGAGAGCAAAGCTGCGTGCATTGAACCAACCAACCGCCTCTCCACTGCCCCCCCCCCCCCGACTAACCTCCCCCTCCACCGCTGACGCCAGTCTGCAGGAGACATCATCTCCGATATCAGACACCTTCGTTCATTCGAGATCGACGGGAATCCCTCTCCGCCCCCCCCCCGCTGATCGCCCCCCTTCCTTGCGTTCGACTCGTGAGAAAGTTGCCACCCGAGGGCATCGATCCCGGGGTCAACGACCTTGAGCGGACGGCGCAGTCGGCTGACTGACGGAGCGGGAAAGAGAGAGCGAGGGGAGTGAGTGAGAGGGAGGGAAGTAGAGAGAGCGGAAGAGAGGGAGAGAGTGAGGGGAGGGAGTGAGAGAGAGGGAGGTAGAGAGAGTGGAAGAGAAAGAGAGAGTGAGGGGTGGAAGAGAGAGAGAGAGAGAGGAGAGAGAGTCAGAGAGAGAGAGAGAGAGAGAGAGAGAGAGAGAGAGAGAGAGAGAGAGAGAGAGAGAGATAGAGAGAGAGAGAGAGAGGAGGTAGAGAGAGAGCGGATGAGAAAGAGAGAGTGTGAAGAGGGAGTGAGAGGAGAGAGAGAGAGAGAGAGAGAGAGAGAGAGAGAGAGAGAGAGAGAGAGAGGGAGAGAGAGAGAGAGAGAGAGAGAGAGAGAGAGAGAGAGCGGAAGAAAAAGAGAGAGAGAGAGAAAAAAAATCGGGAGCGTAAGCTTGGAAACAGTCTTACTGTTCCAAGTTGGAACAGTAAAGAACTTACCGCTTACATAGCTTATTTGGCAACTTAGCGGCACCCGGCTAAGAGTCGTTGGGCGAGGGCTTATTCGTGTGTTGTGTGAAGCCAGAGCTTGGAACGCAGGTAAAATATATGGCTCACCGCTACTAAATTGTAATACAACCCTAGTCGCCAGGTGAACACTGTACAGACAGACTACAGAGCACCTGAAGTCATTCCGTTGAAGTCTGTTCAGCCCTCATATAAAATGCAGGAGCATTGCGTAAGCGTGATAAGAATGGCATGCATCATTAGTTTGAAAAACACATCATTCGAACATAGCATCAACTACATAAATGATTTAACCATATGCATGCAAGTTGCATGCAATGCATGGCATATAACATCAAGGACGCGTCGTAGCCTTTTTGAAAAAAGTGTATGGTGAAAATGTAACTGGGAACTGTTCATTTGAGATTTCACGTGATACTATGGAAATTTTAGGTTGATGGCAATTGAAGTAAACAAACTTGGGCTACGTCGGCATGAGCGTTGCATGAACGCTTGAAAGTAATAGGGACGAGAGCATTGATTATAATGAACCATATACCTAACTCAACGTCACGTTGTTAGAAGGCCGAAACAAAACCATGCCAACAAAACCCTTAAAAACAACTTTATCCATTTCCCCCATCCTCTATTCATAACTCTGCCCACTCCTCACTCTGCATCTTACGTCAGTTTGGTATTCTCCCTCCAGCTACCGGCTGTCACCAGCAATAATTGGAGTATTACCCTATCACAGGGGTAGCGCCACCTGCTCAGTATTATGGGGGAAAATGCAGAATTGCAGACCCTGATAAATTAGGCTGCGTTATAAAAAGAACCCAATGGGAGGTGTGGATCGGTGATGCCAAATACAGAAAATCTGGATACCGATGTCGTATCCAAATACCAACCAACACCATAGGAAAATACAGAAACCAAATCGTCTTGGGAATGCCAGGTAAATAACAACTTTTGACCAAATTCACAGCCTAACATACATAACTTATGACTCAAAATACCACTAAAATACTAAACACAAATTAGGATTGGAATACCAAATACCAAGTTGGTATTAGTTTGGTATGGGTATACCAAAACGTCTGCTTCCGATTGACTTCTCTAAGCACTGAATCTCTCCCTGCACTGTGGCAGAGCCCTTGTGCCCTATCCCCTAATCCTATCCCTCTCCCCGATCGTATCCCTCCCAGCTCCCTTATCCCTATCTCTCCTAGCCAAATCACTTTTCCTTGATCCTATCCCCTCCCCTACCCGTATTCCCTTCCTCCCCTACCCGAATTCCCTCCCTCCGCTACCCGTATCCTATCCCTCCCCTCCCTCCCCTCCCTCCCTTTCCCTCCCTACCTCCCTCCCCTCCCCCTCCACCAACCTGTCACCACCATTCCGTCAAACCATTTGACCTTGGCCACGTGCTATTCTCCCATCGATTTTCCACGGGGGGAGGAGGGGAGGGGTCTCATTAGCCGCCCCCCGTGGTTACCAGGGTAGAGGGAGGACAACATGGACCCCAGCACTGGCCGCACGACATAAAACGGCGCAGAAGGGTGGTGGGGCGGGGTGGGAGGGAGGGAGGGGGTAACGTAGTGGCACTTGGTGAAAGTATAATTTAAACTGCATTAACGAATAATTTGGTTGATGATCATTTAAATAAGATTAATAACCAACCATACAACAGATATTCGTGTGGTGCTTAGGTATGATAGCTCAGTCGTGGTTCTCTTATTAACACGAGATATTGTAGGGTAGCAAAGTCCAATCGTAACTCATTAGTTTTAAAGTATCTAAGCGGAGTTTGATACTAAACTAACGCCAAATTACATACAGTTACTTACTCAACGTAATACCCACACGATAGCAAAACTGTATGAAAGACGCTCGAACACGTCTTACACCTAACGGGTGTCACGATATGAGAAGGTCGACTACAGAATGATGTTCCACTTTTCAGACAATTATTTGCCTGGAGTGGTAGGCTGTGCCGCATCACACGGGCTGAGTTCACAAATTATAGCTTTGTCCCAATGCTCACAATCGACACGCTTAATTGCGTGATAAACGGCACAACTTAGCGCTTCGGTCAACGGATAGCTTCTGAGGAGTGGAATAGAGATGTCAATCGGATGCCAACTTTTTGGTATACCGATACCAAACCGATACCAACTCGGTATTTGGTATTTCAATCGTAATGTGTTTGGTATTTTGTTGGTATCATAAGCCCTCACTAATGTATAAGAGGCTAATAAATCGGTAAAAAGTTGGTATTTCCCTCAGTTTCCCTAGCTGGCTTGGTTTCGGTATTTTCCCGTGGTTTTGGTTGGTATTTGGTTTGGTATCGGTATTCCGATTTTCCGTAATTGACATCACTAGAGTGGAACATTATTCTGTAGTCGACATTCATCATTCTGTATACACCGGACGTACCGTACAAGAGGTCCTCCAGTTTCTTCCGGTCGACCTTGACCCGCTCGACCTTCTCCAGCTCGCCGAGGTCAAGGTCAGCCAGGTCACCAGACACTTGAGAGTCCACCGATCGGGCATCCTGAAAATGGAGTCATTTCTAGAGTCTGATTCAAGAATCAGCCCAGTGGCGGATCCAGGTGGGGGGGGGGGGGCAAAATGGGCATTTGCACCCCCCCCCCAAACGGCATAATTTTAACATTACGCCTATGGAGGAGGCATGGAAAGAATAGATAAATTGTTATGGTTTGCCCCCCCCCCCCCAAAAAAAAACTGCGCTGGATCCGCCTCTGAATCAGCCAGATGGTATTATAGAGCTCAGAGGCCAGTTTTACCAACAGAAAATAGCCGCCTGCCGAAACTTTTTGCCTAAAGACAGATTTTTTTGCCATCGCGTTTACGGAGCGTAAACGCGATGAGCATGTAAGCGGATAAGGCTTTACCTCTTACGCTTTGTATGTGAAACGTCCATTAGGCAAAAAATTCCGGCAGGCGGCTATTTTTCTGTTGATAAAACAAGCCTCGGCACAATGAATTATGTAAACAATGTAAGAACAATGTAAGAGTACGGTAGCTCCAGATTGCTATTGACTGAGGGGGGGGGGGGCGTGTGACGCCCCCTGCCGACTTTTGGCGATAACAGCGCAATCGCCCTGAAATTCGCTAAAGATTCTCCACAGCATCAAATTCACGGTCTGTCACAGTTGTTTGAATTTGTTGAAAACCTTTACGATCGATTTTATAACTTTTCTTCCTCCAGTTTCCCCCGAGAAGTGGCGTCACTAAATCCTTACCGACCAGTATAACGCCTTTTGGGGCGACTAAAGCCCTTGTTACACTGCCGAATTTTGGTACACGAATGCGCACGAATATGCAAGTCATCCTATGTCGCGGACCGATTTGGGATCTTTCTTCCACGGTCTTGGCATTTCGCAGACCAGTCGGTGCCCACCGCGCGACTTTTACGGTTCGTCACGACCGACACGAAAATTTCATGAAAATGAAAATTTCGTGGCCGTTCGCCGAACATATAATAAACGAACATGATCGCCAAACAGTCACCGAGTCGCCGCCGACATGTCGCTACGTGCGCCGACTTGTTGCCAAGGTATCGCCGACTATTCGCAACAGATTCGCCATTCATTCGCGATGTTCGCCGAATCATGGATCAGCTTCGACCAGCGCACGATTAGGGGGGGCCCACCCGTTGTCTGCAAATCGGTTCTCCCGGCGAACTGTTCGCCTCTGTCGGTGAACTGTTCGCCGATTTCCTACACGACGTGATTCGGCGACAGGGTCGTGGCCAAAATTCGGCAGTGTAACACGTCCTTAACTGAGCGAGCGAGAGGGTGAGCCTTGCAGTTGCACGTGCGAAATTTCGAAGGGGTACCTCGAGCTGACTTGTGCACGGCACCCTACTAACCGGTCTCTAGCGATGTGCCAAATTTGGGCACAATCGGCCCAGCCGTTCTCGAGATCTGGAAGCGGCACCCTGCACGTGCGCACGTGCAAAATGGGTCCCAACTGACTTTTGCACGGCACCCTACTAACCGGTCCCTAGCCATGTGCCAAATTTGAGCGCCATCGGTCCAGCCGTTCTCGAGATCTGGAATCGACCCCTGCACGTGCGCACGTGCAGCAGCACCCCAACTCTGGCACATGGATATGCATTGCCTAGTGGGTGCCTACTAGTGATGTCAATAACGGAAAATCGGAATACCGATACCAAACCAAATACCAACCAAAAGCACGGGAGAATACCGAAACCAAACCAACTTGGGAAACTGAGGGAAATACCAACTTTTACCGATTTCTTAGCCTCTTATACATTAGTGAGGGCTTATGATACCAACAAAATACCAAATACATTACGATTGAAATACCAAATACCAAGTTGGTATCGCTTTGGTATCGGTATACCAAAAAGTTGGCATTCGATTGACATCTCTAGTGCCTACCTACATGCCAACTTTCAGCGCAATCGGCCAAGTAGTTACAGAGATATTGCAACAATTACAAAAGTGACACCTCTTCGTTCTGCACGTGGCACGTGCATAAGGCGTCACCCATATGCATCGGGAATAGTCCAATACTTGGTAGAAGGAATGAAGCTACCCTACAAAAATTACCGCGTGTAAATCGGTCAAGTGGTTGCTGAGATATAAGCGTCGCAGAATCGTGACCACGGTCGGCCGGTCGGCCGGCCGCTCATACTCAGAAATTTCCGTTAATCTAAGGAAAGACTATACGCTCGCTTCGCTCGCTTCGTAACCAAGGGAGGGGTCGCGGATGCCGCTAAAAGCCAAAATAAATGACCTTTTATTCAAAGGTCCTTTTATCAAATAGAGACCTTTTATCTCAACTCAAAACTACACCTTTTTTCATTCATTTTAACCTTCGCCCGTATAGGGATGGGAGGTCAAACGGACTCCCCCCCCCACGTTTTTTTTTTGCGAATAACTCGCGTAAAAAGCGGCCGATCGCGACGAAACTTTCAGTACCCTGGCGTTAATGAATTTTACACCTACTCTGGAAATTGCATGAACAGCGTGGTGCACCCCCACCCCCCCGTCGGTGCAAAGTTGGTGCAGACCCCCGTCGGTGCGCGGGTTAAAAGACCCTCTTCGGCGTTCCCAATAAAAGAGGCCAGTCTGCGTCATCGCACCCATCACGTGGATGTTAGGGCCCAATTCGAAGTCGCCGCCTTCACACTACATCCGGTCTTACAGACATTTGGTTCATGTTTCCATATACACTTCATAATACCACCACGCTGGTAAAATCAATACGGCTATATTGCAAATATCTTTTTAATTTGTATGTTATCTTTCTTAATTTGAATTTCATCTTTCTTAACTTGAATGCTAGCTTCCTTAATATGAATTTTATCTGTCTTAAAATGAATTTCACTTGCCTTAAATTGAATTTTATCTTTCTTAACCCGCGCCGTGCTGATGGCCTGAACTTTCCGCCAAGTGCTGGGGGGGGGGGGGCGTTTTTACGCTCCCCGTCTAACTCGGCTCCTGGGCCACGTAGCGACACGCGTTATTAAGCGGCAGGCAATCGAAAGAGCGTCAAAAATAAGAAAGAAAACACTTCGGTCAATTTTAAGGTCAGGTCAAAATTCAGGTCATCAGAGGTCATCGAAGGTCAAATTTAGTCCATTTCAATAATTTTGGAAATTGTCAACGGCTAATTCGGGAACCAATAGCGCTACACCGCCGCAGAAAAGCGCCCCTCCTCCCCTGCTACGCTATCATTACGCTCGATCAAACCCACCTCCCCCTCATGCATAACGTAATTTATGGACGGCCCCTTATGCCTTTATATGATCATAGCCCCGCCCACTCCAACAAATTATTGGTCAATCAATATTTGGATTTTCGCCTTGTAGTTTCCCAAACTGTCACAGCTCAGTTGGGGAAACTACGAGGAGCCAAACAAAAATTGGATTAGCCAATCAACGGCTGGAGTGGGCGGGGCGATGACCATATATGGTCATAAAATCAGACAACTTCATCTTTTCAATGCATCCTAGCATTCAAATGAAAAAAATAAGGCATAATAATGGTTTTTAACCACACAAGGCCCACACTCACTCGGTGCACAATTAACTGGCGGCTCTAAATCGCAGAGTTACAACACAAGGTCAATCAGTGATTGGCAAATATGGCGGATTGAAACAGACGCGCCAAAAATGTAAACATTACGGTGGTTTAAAAATGTCATTATTTTTATTATTTTGTTTATGTTTTTTTTCTAATTGTGGTTAAGTTATTATTTTAAAATTAAATATAATTGTTTATTGTAATTAAATTAAATCCTGAAACAATTTTCTTTCAAACACCATCCATTTATTGAATGGCCAGCTGATTGTGACGCTCAGAACGGACGCCGGTGAAAACAGGGCGCCGGAGGGCATATTAGTCACGTGACATTTGGAGCTTTTCCCCCTCCGTGGGCCTTCTACATGCCTAACGTCATGTGTGAATTTCACGAACCTTGATCAAATCGCCCCAGGCGCCCTGTTTTCACCGTCGTCCCTCAGAATCTGCAGAAAAGCCGTTTTCCTATCGCCATTTTCGAGTCATTTCGCCGAATTTAATCAAATCACGCTAATTCCTAGTGGAAAATGGAAGCCTTTACTCTCCGATAAGTGGACGCGATACCGCAAGTACCGGCTTGTTATACCGTTTTTCACCCTTAGTAGCGGGGCTGCATTTATGCCCATATATGGTCTCGTCCACTCATTCAATCGACTCACGACTCATTCAACCGACTCACGACTCATTCAAACGACTCACGACTCATTCAACTAACTTGCGACTCATTCAACTAACTCGCGACTCGTTCAATCGACTCACAGCCCACAAAACTGACTCTCAGCTCACCTGACTCATGGCTCTGTCCGTGCTGCCGTCGGAGAGGCGGTCCTCCTGGCCGATCTCGGCCTCGCCCTGTCCAGACGGAGGCCTCCTCATCTCCTCAAGTCGCATCTCCTCCCCTCTACCCTAAACACACCCCGCTCCGTCTCGAAACGCAGTCACAGATGCGTGCAATTCGATGGAATTCGTCACCAGAATTCAACACAACACAGTAGAACGAATATGGCACGCGACACAGTCTATAGCGCAACTCGAATTGGCGGTCAGTGAGCTTCCACAGCCTCCACACGGGCAGCGCGACGCCTTCTGACGCCGCAGGCATTCAGCGGCCAAGGTCAGCTCGGTGACGTCACGGGTTGCCGCGCGACCGGCGGCCAATCAGCGTGCGGCGTTCGATACAGGCTCGGCACGCCCCGGTACGGCCGGTAAAAGGACGATCGGAGTGCCGAGATTCCTGACAGTACAGAAAGCTCTGTGTTGAAAGGGTCAATAAAGGAATCGTTTGGGTGTCTGTAGCTGGGTCAAGTCGGCTGATATTTGGCGGTGTAGTATTTTTTCTGTTTAATGAGATGCTTATTTGATCGATACAGCAATTAATTAAATATGCGGTTTGCTAAAATAGTGTCTAATTAATAATTATAGTACATTTTTGCCACCGACGCATGTTAAAAAAGTTCAGTTAAATTTTTGTATAAAGGTGGCCTGCTGAAAGCCAGAAGCGCGAGAGACGGTTAATTTCAGTCGATGCCAAAACTCGGAAATGCCTATCAAAGCCCATGCATAAAAACACGGCGGTTAATTTCATTATACGGCAGTTTTCTTCTCTTCAAAAGCTCCCTCGGTTGAACAATGCGTTCGATGACTGAAACCTCAATAAAAATCCGGTCATGGAAGCTTGTAGCTTGCTTGTAGCTTGGAATAAAGTGAATTGCGAAACAGGTGGACAAGTGAATATTGGCAAGAACACAGCCTTAATGTGATGACTTATTTCAAATTTATTTCTAAGAGATGGATTAGCAGGTTACGCATAAATTAACCCTCGCCCGCACATGGGGGGGGGGGTTGCCACCCCCCCAGGTAGTCTTTCTGCTCTGCACTCAATATTTTTAGAGCTAGAAGGCTGATTTTTCGTATAGCTGCTCCTCTATCCTTGCTTGATGTCCACTGAAAATTTCAAGTTTCTGTGATTTCTGGTTTCGGAGATATGACCTTGTTTGTCAGGTCATGTCATGACCCAAATGGCCAATTCTCAACATATTGCGTTTGCCATGGGCCTTATGAGCTTTTGACACCCTGATTTCGGCCTTTTTTGTCAGTCTTACCTCCCACCTATCATGGAACATGTTGTTCGACGATGTACAGGGGTCAAGGTCAGGGTCAAGGTCAACCTAGGTCATCTAAGATAATTGCGTTTTAGGCAAGCTGAATTTACTTTTTTGAAGTTTTTGACTGCATTTTTGGTAAAAGCTTCTCAGATAATAATACCTGGAAGGTCAATGACTGACCTGAGAAGGTAAAACTGGGTATCATTGGATTCGTCTCTTCCCAAAGAATCTTTTTGGTCCTTACCGCTAAGCTCTATCTCCAACAGGAACGAAATGGCGCGGGGGGTGGCAACCCCCCCCCCCCCATGTGCGTTCTAGGATGGGAAAATGGCATGTGCGGGCGAGGGTTAAGAAGGCAGGTTTCGAGGCACATGTAGTTCTCAAGAGCCAGTGAAGAGAGCCATTGACGATGACCCTTACAAAACGGGAAGAACAGCACTGCCAGGAGCTAGTGTTCGTAGTAAGATCGACGCTTGTTATCATAGCTTCATGGATATTAGATGTCAAAATATAAGAAAGAGGAGAGAACGCAACGACAATTTCCCACTAATGAAGACAAAGCATGTCTCCGCAACGCCTACTCCTCACTCGCAATTACTTCGTAGCATGAATGTCTAATAAAAGTAACAGACGCGTCTCGCATGTTTACCAGGAAATATCTGAGAAATCGGGGATGAATTTAGAGCAAAATACGACGTGGTAGGCAATGTACATTTTGTATAGGTATAGTGAGACCAAGTGGTAGATTAATTTCATTATTCGCCCATCGTGTGTTAAAGGCCATTGGCAATAATTTTCATTATACGCCCAAAGCTTTACCCATTTGCTGCCCCCCCCCCTATCTTCCGTGCCCCTCCTTGATGCCGAAGCCCAAAAGCAAACTTTCTCAGAGATGCGTTGGTGCTCGGTGCCAAAAAATTACTATAATAAATTTAATTGCCCGGTCCGAATACTATACCAGCCATGATACGGTCGCTTTTCCTCAAGGGTGTTTTCATTGAATGTGCTCGCAGGCTCGCACATTCAATGCGAAAATTGCACTCATTTCATTCGTGCAATTTTCGAAAATAGCATCCTCACGCCGTTCGGACGCTATTTTCGATAAAATAATGTCCTCACTCCGTTCGGACATTATTTTAAAACACCCTTGGGAAAGCGACCGAATAATGTCTGGTATAGTGTTCGGACCGGGCAATTAAATATATAGTGTATACCTATGCAGATTCGAGTCATAGCAGATGTATTATATACTACAACCTTCCCAATCTTCAGAGCTTTTGGAGATCCTCTCATATAACTGTAGGTACAGTGTACATTACCTAGGCATCTGTTAGCTGCCGCGATCTGAATCCAGCTGAGCAGGCATCAGCTCCACGATCGTCTAACGCTAATATACGGTTGTCGGAAGAAAAAGCAGCACTGATGATGATGTTTTGTTTTTATTAAAACACATGTTTGTACAGATACTTCTCGGAGTTTCCAGCATCGTATAATAGGCAGCGAATAATGAAAACAATACGCAATGCCAGCCGATTACAAGCAACCCTCATTCGAAAATAGTGAAGCAAAACACTGCCAACGCAGCATGATCATATACCCTCGCTTGGTAAACCTCGCTCGATACTCGACAGCCTATCTCTCTGCACATCAATAGCCCCAATGGAATCGCTGTTAAGCTGCTCAGCACACTAATGAGACTTCCGCGGTTCCCAGAAGCTAGTAGCATAGCTTAGTAAGCCACAAAAGACCACACAAGTGCGGTGGGCAGTTTCACAACCAATCAATGAAACATGCACCAGCCTTGTCACAACGCTTGCACCGGAACTAGTCGTTCACCTTTTAACATATCAAGCATATGAAGCACTGTAGAATTACACTGTCACTGTAGACTTATATGAAAAACTGTAGAACTTCGTAGAATTAAAGTCATAAGTCCTTTATTTTTTTTTTTGAATAATTCTTTTCCTAATCTCCTGCACGATAGACCATTAAATCTACAGCATTGCGACCCACAACACATTTCTCTTCTATTTGTAGTTTTTTTTTTTAATTGTTTTCCTAGCACTCACTTTTGATGCCAGGCTGTTGATCATTGGAGGCATTTCTGCTTTGGCTCCAACCGTGTCATGAATTTTAAAACAGCAGTGGTAAGCAATGGGTCCACTTAAAATTTCGAATTTGAGGAACTTTGCACAAGTCAAACCGAGCAATGCAGTCACAGACTTTAGCCTGGTAACAGCTCATAAGGTCTGACTAAATACTTGTTTTTTCCTTACGAGTGATTGTTGCTTTTAACGTTTTAAGGCATTCTTGGTAATTTATAGTGATACTGTAAATGTAGAGGCGTATTGACGCGTCACAAGTATAATTTTGCCATTATTTATGTCGCTATAACTATCTCTTAAAGAAACGATATTGACAGTCGGACAATCGGATGAGCAGCCGATAACCAGCATGCATCCATGGTTGGCTATAGGTTGACGAAGAGTCGTACTCGAACATGCTCGAATTGGTGATTTTATCACTAGTATTTTGAGTTAATTGCGGATAAAGTTTATTTGACCTGTGCTACAGCAGAACCGGTGGCTTTTGGTGACAACATCAAGAACGGTGAATCTATATAATTTATTATTAAATTAGTATTTACATCTTCCCGAAATCATATACATTTCCTCTAATGTATTTGTTTACTGATAACTTGCTCAGGCCTATGTAAGTTAGTTATTTGAGCTAGAATTAAAGAATTGTAACAGAGCAGTCTTTATTGCTTCAACCAGCTGTTGAGAAATGTGCCGTGATATGTACTATTCACTCATTTAACTTGTCCGTTAGGATCCAGTTAAGAGTTAAAACTAAGCACTTGGGGTAAATTTCACTCGTATTTATTTTGCGTTAAGATATGTTACTATTCACAAACCATTAATTAAGTAAAATTAAACAACGTACAAATCAGCCACGTGCATGGATCTGAGTATAGAATCTGTGATCTTAATAGATTTCGTGACGACAATGCGACCGCTGTGAAACTGCTGTAACCATTCTCCTAAGGACTTCTACGGGGCCCACAAGACCAGAGCAAGGTCTTGCAAGCCACTTAAGCCCTCAAAAGGGTGGTGGGCAAATTCAAGGCAAATTAATATAGACGTTCGTCATGCAGCAAGTCATGAAATGTTCTTCATGTGCCTCGCTACTTGAAGAACTGTCTTTTTTAACTCACTGCAAGATCAATAAGCTTTCCATGTCGGCAACTAAAGCACAAGAAGCAAACTCACTTCTACAAACTGTAAAAGCCCTTCAGCGGGCGGCTGGCAGTTTCACAGCGAACCAATGCGATTGTTCTTCATGTAACGGGACATGCAATGGATGCGTACGTGCATAAAAATTGTCAAACTTCGGGGATAAATACAACAATATATAGAAGTGCGCGTGGAAACATAACAAAATCATACAATTTTGAAAGCATGACGTCTAATAACGGGAAAACAGTGGTAATGAGCATTTATCTAGTACATATCTCAGTTTACAAATACCAGCTCAACTAGCCACACCATAAATACGTTTGAATCAAGAAACCTGTGTTCTGGTTCAATATCTTACTATATGGATTTATTACTATATGGATTTCAATATGTTACTTATAATGGTTTGGTCTACAAGTGTCATTTTCAACGAGTTCTCAAACGTCAAGAAACACCTGGTTCAATGATCCAATGGAATACCAGGTTAGAATCTACATTATTTGAATTCAGATTCATATACTCAGATCCATGCACATGTCTGATATACATACGTGTGAAAATATTATAAACAGGATGAACAACGAATGCATAAAATTGAAAATAAGCGTACCTGACATGAGATTCACCGTTGTCAATATTGTCACTAGTACAGCCACCGGGTTCTACTGGGTTCCGTTTTTTCCTAGAAGTCAGGACCCAATGCTCACAACCACTGTTTAAAAATTCGAGCCAATGAAGCGGTACGGTTCGGGGAGAGGTTTCAGGTTCTGATACCGAGGCGCCGGGGGAAAATCTGCCGGCGTCTGAGGGCACATCCTCGAATACTCGGAAGACCATTGATAGACGTGATGGACGCGTGCCGGTGCCTTGTCGTCAATCTCCTCATATATATGAGGCTGAGAAAGCTGACTGGAGACTGATTCAGTCGAACCGCGTACATCAGCAACATTCAGTTTCTTAATGTCAGCCTTGCCAAGGTTGGGAACCCTCAACGGAGCCTCTTCCTGATGAATGTTGGCCAAAAACTGCTGACCGCGCTTGGGCTTTTTGTGGATAATGATGGCGGCCAACGCCACAGTAAGAACGATTCCTAGCATCAGGAAAGCTCCCAGCGTGACGTAGATAATCATACGATGTCCTTCGTCCAGTTCACCATCCACGGAAGAATGCTCAGGGCCATCAGAGGAAGCAGAATCGGGCACATCTCCCTGGTTTTCCTCTCGGACGTTTTCAGACTGCTCGCCACCATGGAGTTTCTTCAAAGACCTTTTGTCAGTTTCGTCGCCAGCTGTAGGGCCGGGCTCTTCCAAAGAGTGGTCAGTTCCTCTGTCGCCAGCTGCAGCCACAGGCGCCTTCACACCTGATGATGCAGTGGTGAACATTACCTTGTTGCTGGGGTTCGGCATTGTGTCAAAATGACTTCCTGCTGCACTACTTGGACTACCTGCACTACCTGCACTACCTGCACTACTTGCACTACCTGCACTACTTGCACTACCTGCACTACGTGCAACGTCAGAACGGCCGGCGTTCGCTGACAGTTTTGACTTCTCCGAAATGCTCTGTTGATATCCGCGGCCCCAGAAAGCTTCGTCTTCATTTTCATCCTCGGCAGACTCATCAGCGCTATGATCTACAACAGCAGCATAGTTCTCCTCCTCGCTGGAATCTTCGCTGGAAGTGCCCTGACTGGTCTGGCCAGCCACCGTGTCGTCATCTAGGTCTTCTTCGAGCGAGTCCGGAGTCCACTCGTTGGCCTGCTCGCAGCTAGGTCTTTCCGTAGAGTCCGGGAACTCAGTCCAGCCATCTTCGGAACACCAGCGTCTGTCCAGCAGTTGGTAGAAGAGCTGATACTGCGCCTGGCTCAGTCGACCTCCCGCCCCACCGGCTGACAGAGACCGCGTCCATCGGTCCGTGGGGCAGATTGGAGGCAGCGGAGCAGTCAGGTCGAGGTCCTTCAGGTCCACTTCGTTGCAGGTTGAGAATGTCAGGGACCCGTTTTCGGCTTCAATTATTTCAACTTTGTGTAGTTTCAAGATGCGTGAGATGTTATCCTTACCCATTTTTACTCCGAGAAAAGCGTTCTTTCTTAGATGGTTTATTCTGATGGTCTCCATCTTGAACCACTCCTTTGCGAACATGTTGATGCCCTCCGACTTCAGCTCATCGATAGTTGACTTGCATACTTCCATGTTCGAGACCCTCATGTTGATACCACTTTTCTCAACAGTTCCGAAATGGCTGTTCTGAACAAACAGAGAACGGATATCTCCCGAGAACGCCCCACGACGGATGGTTTCAATTTTTACAGAGTTCAGATTTAGGGACCCGACGTGTTTCAAGCTGTGGAAGCACTTAGCATGCATATCGGTGATTGCTACATTATTCCATTCAGTGACGTAGGTGTTTCCACCGAAACTTTCCTTCTGACACTCGCTCATGTTGACGTTGGTGAGATACATGCCAAACATCGGAGCCGAAAAACCGCTTGATTGAAGGTTAAGCCGGCGGACATTTTGCAGAGACACACTGGGACCTGTTACAACGGCCTGGTAGCTGAAGGCGTTAGACATGACATGGAGCTCTTTGATGAGCTGCATTCGGACGGCTGTCTCCGTCTGCCAGATGCCGGTAAAGGAGTGACTCTGGGCCTGGAGTGACTGAATATTCTGGAACAGCACGGAGCGCAGCCTGGTCTGGTTGTGGGAGGCCATGCCGTCCCGCCTGATCTCCAGCTGGTCCACATCGCTGACGGTGAGGTTGACAAGGGACGACAGGTGTCCGATGGCGTCCTCCTCGAGGATGACGTGTCCCGTGTTGCGGATGGTCACCGCGTGAGCAGTGGTAGGGATGTCTCCCTTCCGAATAACCATCTGCGGAAAACACAAAGGGCAGTTATGGCAAAGGGCAGGCTTGTCAAACGTTTGACTGATTTATTGTATTTCCGAGTCTTTGGTTAGGTGAGGTTAACCATTGCCTCAGTTGGATTTTCCAGCATGTAGGTAATCCGGCATGTAATCTTCAAAATCGCAGAGCATATCTACTTGAAGACATCAAGCTGTGTGAGTGAACAGTTAATGCTTGAATGGAGCCTCGCCAAAGTTCAACACATTTAACAACAATTTCATTCACAAATGTCATTCAATCCATACGCGGAATGTCATTTGGAATCGCCTTGATTACCTCCGGGCAGTCGCACGTCACTCTCTTGGCGTCCACACACGAGGGCAGCACGGAGCAGCAGGACCAGCCGCACACGGCCGGCTGGCCGCTGGGACGGCCCAGCACGGCTCCGTTCAGCACCAGTGATATCATCAGCAGTCTCGTCAGCCATCGAGACTGTGCAGCATCACGGATTATTGCCATGGCGGCGGTTCTTTGAAAAAAAAAACAGGACACGAGAAGTTTAGGTTAGGTCACAAGACAAAGGTTTAGATACACCGGGTTACCAAATTCCTATCTGAAAATAATTAACCCTCGCCCGTAAAGGGGGGGGGGTCGAACGGAACCCCCTCGGTCTTTCGCGAATAACTCGCGTAAAAAGCGGTCGATCGCGATGAAGCTTTCAGTACCCTCGCGTTAATCAATTTTATACCAGACACTGGAAATTTCATGACCTTGACCCTAATGACCTTTGACCTGTGACCTACTTATCGAGACCATGTTTGGCCGGAATCGCGATTCGGTGTATGTTGGATCGCATTAGCCGCGCGTTTGCAGTCTTTTCGTGGTTTCAAGCATTCAAACATGGGATATGATGTTGCTCCCATGCATTAGGGTGGGTGTCAAGGTCACCCGAAGGTCAGGTCAGGTCATTGACCTTTGATGATCTCGGTTTACTTTTTCGAGTTTTACATGTTTCTAGGCTAGTTTTTGGAGCTGAATTCGAATTTAGCACCATTTGAACACTTACGAAGTAGTTTTGGTGCCTTCGTAACTTGGTAACACATTGTGACCAAAAATTTTCCAAAGACTATGATAGGTTGGCCGCTAATGACGTCGGAGTGACGTCATTTCTGCCATTTTCGACCCAAAAAAAGGTTTCGCGGTAAGAGCTGTCTGTCAGGCCTGTAGCTTTGATGATACAGAAAAAGGTTCAAGACATAAAATGTGTAGAATTACAAGAGCTACCATTATATTATCTCGAAATGTTGAAAAGTTTTGAATTTGACCTCCAAAAAACATTTTTTTTTATATAATAGCCAATACCTCCAAAACTTTTTTCGATTTAAAAAAAAAAACGGAATTTATGTACTAGCCTCTATCGACTTCTACTACCATACCATATTTTAGACCGATACCTTTCTTTGCCAAGTTATAGCGAAACAAACTGTTCAAAATTGATGACATCAAATATTCAAACTCAACTTTCAGCAATTCTAGACCACGTAGCGCAAAACAAAGACCACCATTAGACTCGCCGTGGCGAGCTGCATCGAATCGATACACATTTTATGCAAAACTACCAACTTTGAAATTTGACCCTTTTTAACTGACTTTGACCTGACCTCCACCAGAAAGTGACCTAAACCATACCTGATGGTCTTATAAACAACACCAATGAGTTGGAAATGAAACATTGGCCATAAAACATGCATCGCACAACGCTAGTAAAGTTGGGTTCATGTGCTGACCCTTGGTGACCTGACCTGTGACCTGACCTAGTATTATCAGTGACCTCCAAAAGGTTGGGTCATTCAAAGTGACCTGGCGACCTGACCTTAAAAGTTAGGAGGTTTAAACTTGCACACCATGTGTAAAATTGATGAGAGAATAGTCGTATGAAATTTCGCGGCGCTACGCGCCGCGGTTTTCCCGCTATTCGCGAAAAACCTCAGGGGGCGGATAACCGCCCCCCCCCGTCGGTGCGAGGGCTAGAAGACCCGTGAACGGTGAAACATTTTATCTTTGACCTGACCTGTGACGTCATCGGTGACCCCGAGGTCAATGAAATTAGAATTCCTTCGACAAATTTGACAGGGCTATCGAGCGCCGTTTGAATTTTACGGATCCGTCCAGCAGTTTCGGAGATACGGGGGGATGCAAAAAAATGCAACCCCCCCCCACCGCGCGGAAGGTGGCCGGGAGGCCCACCGCTTGACGGGTTAAAATAAAACTTGCCACAGACAGGTTCCTACAATCGTGAGGCAGCCGGATATATAATTGACCGATGCAGTAGTGCTGAACACGCTTACTTTAGTATTAATTTTCACATGGTGAAAATTAATGAAGCTTTATCCCTCGCCGGGCCGGGGGGTGTTTGAACACCCCCCTGCGGTTTTTCGCTGATATGTCAAAAACCGCTCCGCGCCGCCGTTTTTGGCACACCTGTTTTGCATCTTTTCCGCACAAGTTGAGAATTCCAGACCCAGGTCGCCCTAGGTCAGGTCACCAGGTCACGCCAAGTGACCTCACCTAAAAAAAAATGAATGCTCGTCATAGCTACACCGACTGAACGATTGCCTTGAAAGTTTCAGCGATTGATTAGAGTAACAGTACTCGAAGTCGTATCTATAAAATGATCATCTCGGAATTTTGATATCGGTGACCTAAGGTCAGGTCAATTTTGCGGCCTCTCCATTATAGGTAAGTCAATGGGAGAAAATTGAAAAACGTCTGTTTTGCACGAACGCCATTCTAGACACTCTTAAACATCGAGATACATGTAAAATTGACACACTGAACCGGAAAATGGCAACTGTGACCCCTCCTTATGTCCCCGAGGTCATCTCAGGTCACAAATAGTATCTAACAGTTTTTCGCTAATAATTTCTGATAGAGGCATGCTAGAGCGATGAAACAGCCTTAGATGTGTTTTGCTCGACGTTGCGGATCGACTGATATGCAACATGACCTTTTCCGGTCAGGTCATGACCTTGACCTGAGGTCAAGTTTTCAAGTTGACCTTTCAAGGTCAAATTATAGATTATTCGACGCGTCTCGACGAGATGAACACGATGCTGGCAAAATAAATGTCGTGGCTCTTTTGAGTTTAAAGTTATTGCCGAAAAACACTTTTCGTAAAAACGTTTTTTTTTTAGTTTTTGCCCTCTGGAAGCTAAACCGTTGACCTGAGGTCAAATCTGAGGGCGAATCACCGAAAGAGCGTTAAAAGAGGTAGCGAATGCGCTTTTCTGCGGCGCTGTAGCTCTATCCGTTCCTGAGTTAGCCGTTGGCAGTTTCCAAAATGTTGAAATAGCAAACATTTTACCTCTGGTGACCTCTGGTGACCTGACCTTTGACTTGACCTAAAAATGACTGAAAAGTGTTTTCGTCTTGATATTAGCCGTTCTTTCGAATGCCATTTACCGCGTGTCACTACGTGGCCCAGGATCCGAGTTAGAAGGGGGCATCCCCTGCCCGGCGCGGAAGTGGCGGAGCACCGGCCCGGCGCGGGTTAATAATAAATCATCAACCTCAATTTTTTTACGCAGCGACACACTTCACACAGGATAACAGGTTAAACACAAACATGATAACAAACATCTGCAATAGTTTCAAAATCATAGCAGTCGTAAAATTTAGACCCCAACCTCTTATAGTTTGAAAGCATCAGTAGGGTCTATATACTAGTATTATATTAGTATTTTTTTAGTAGGGTCTAGTATTTTATTAGGGGCTCTCCTACCCTGCAAATGCTGCTTTCGTAGTAGCCTGCCGAATGAATGACCGAGTTTTTTTTTTTGTATAATTTGTACATTTTTTATTTTACCCCAATCTATTTTCCCTTTAGTATCTGACTTTTATTCTTACCTCTGAGGGTGTTATGGATCCTTCAACGGTGTCTCCTGGGAGTTCCCACAAGTGATAAACCAATGGACGCTAGCCTTCCTGTCCCGGTCGCTGCTGCGACAGCTCTGAGTGATGAAGTGTCCGACTCAAACATTTAGCAATACCTACTTGATTTCTGGGACAGGCCATCACGATTATCAACATCGTGTGGGCACGATGTTGATAACTGAAATCGGCATGGTACACATCCACTGATACACATCCACTGACAAATCCACTGCCTTTGTGATATGGACAGCTAATGCTCGGGATTAGGAGCCGTCCCATATATTGATAGACTATCTGCATAACCGACGCCGGCAAGTGCCCCATGACATCAACATAGCAATTGACATATCTAGTGCAAGCCTCTCATGGCTCGTGCGTCAAAGCGCAGCGGTGAACAGGGGGATTCAGTGCTGAAGTGGCATCACGAGCTCTACCCGTGACAGGTCGGACAAGAGTCCGAAGTTAGTCAGGGATGAGCCGAGTGGCACCCCTGCCAGCAATCTAATTCGCGGTTGGTATTGTTGATCTCGACGGTTTCTTGTGTGTTTATGTATTTCTGATTAAGTATAAAGCAACCACTCTTATTTCTTACCTCCAAAGAGCTTGAGTGAAGCTGTGTGGCTGGTGTGGAAAGGTTCACACTAACATTTCAAACTGGTGTGGTCCTCTTTCATGTTTACTTTTCCAATGCTCTGATTTTAAGCGACCGATTAGTCGGTGTAGCTATGGCTAGGATTCTTACTTTTTCTGCAGTGGCGCCCGGCCTGGCCAGGCAACTATGTAACTCGTTATTCGCCACCCCCGACCCCATTGTTTCTTATACAATTCAAAACAAATTTGCAGGGTAAATTGACCCATGCAAATTGACCCAAACATCTCTCCTCTGTGCAAAGTTTGTGATTGAAGTTCAATATGTGGGGGGTTAAGGCGTCCATAAAAACAGCAAATAAAGAGAAGCAGTCAGACTTCCCTGTCTAGAACAAAGATGAACGAAAACATAATCAGTATGGAAAGATAGTAAGCATTCGATTCAATTGCAAGTTTTCCATTCGAAACATTCTATCGGGAAGGGATTGAAAATAGCTGTTGGATCATACCTGGGAGGCTGACTGTGTGTATGTTTGTCTGTTTGTCTGTCTGTCTGTCTGTATGTCTGTCTGTCTGTCTGTCTGTCTGTCTGTCTGTCTGTCTGTATGTCTAGCTGTCCGTTTCACTGTGTTTAAGCATTTTGACATGTGTAGCCCAAACTGGTGGGCTGATCGGGACGGGGGTGGCACTGTTTGAAGCATTGTTCCCCCGGAACGACGATGGTTCCGGTCGCGAGTCGATAGGGGTCAGGTGTCACGATCCTTAACGAACTTTTTACAATCTACACCGTCTACTGCGTGTAGACATGCAAAAGGGAGCGATTTAATAGGCTTATTGCTTGAAATGACATATAGATAAAACTTTTTTTTTATAAATTTAGCTTGAGTGTGCCTTACTGCATATTATTTCATATTTGCCCTGAGACGGTTGGGTGTTTTTTTTTTCCTCTTTGTAGATAGTGTATCTTGTTATCGGCCGGGTCATTTCATGCGTCAGTAACGGATTACTTGTATCATGACCATTACTCACAGCCACTCGGGAAATAGATCCGCGACACAAAAATGGCCGATCCTTTATGATTCCTCTGCGCACAACCCGCTGTGCCCGAGTTTGTCACGGAGGAAGGATAAGGGGTATAGTTCGTTTTTTTTTTTCAAAAGGACGCTGGCTCAAAGTGCAATATCGAAGCTCTCACGTGAGTTTTGGCAGCTTCAGTGTCTGGCCAAGAATTTCTTACCGAAAAAATAATCGATTTCAAATTGTGCACGGTAAGTAGATGGAAATTGTTTCTTAAAAATGAACATACCATGATGACGTCACTGGTGGCAGCAAGCATTTGGGTGAAACTTAGTTTTTCACTGTCGCCGAGCTTATAATCGCGTAAGCAGTTCCGTCCATGATAGTTATAAGTCACATTGCAACACATGTTCGACAGCATGACGTCACCACTGTTCTCAAATCTGGTTCCAAAACGCACATATGGAAATTATCGGAAAGAAATCACATGCTAAAATTAGTCGACGTTCGATTTTCTCAGGTTCAGTTTTTGCTCGTTTTGCTCACTAAAACACGTGCTTGTTCGAAAAACATACTTGGAGCCAGCGTCCTTTTGAAAAAAACGAACTATAGTAACTGAACTGGGGGTAGCGGGTTATTTTGGGTAATAACTACGTACCCAGATACGGGAAGATTTTTGCGTGAATTCCACTTTTCTCCTACCCCAGGGTACTACTTACCCCGGGTTAGGACTTAGGAGTAACATCTTCAATGTGAATATGGTCACAGCTGCCACCAGCGTTCATAGAGAGTCCGTAAATACTTGCAGCTTGCAACTTGCAGGTTCAACTAACAGGTGCAACTTGCAGGTGCAGCTTACAGATGCAAATTGCAGGTGCAGCTTGCAGGTGTGGGCAGGGCTGGTAAAAAGCGCCGATTCGCTGATAATATCGGAGCCAGAACAATAGCTGTACAAGCTATTTAGGGAGCCAGAAATAAGCGTTTCAACGCAAGTATGCATGTGCAGGATAACTGTTTAGTTTTGTTTCATATTTTCATTTTATTTCTACGACAAACCTTTAAATACAAGATGCCTGAGCACAAATATTGAATTAGTAGCAGCATTCAATTTCCCAATGAGGTCTTATGCGCAATGTTTGTCTACAAAGTACAAAGCTGGTAGCCTATTCAGAATAGCTGTAAATTACTACCGCGAACAGCGTCAGCATTCATCAGTCGAAGAGCCATCAGTCGATTTCCAGCTTTAACACTACGGAGAATAGGGCTCCGTAACTTTTATCAGTTGATGAGGACCTAGTGTTGAGGGAACGGGGAGCCACAGAGCCCTTCTACCATTGGCGGTTCACTGTATTACCGACTAGTTTAGAACACAAATAATGATATTCAAGTGGCCTTTTCATTTTTATCAATGCAGGGCATGCAGGGTTGCGGCTGGTTGCGGCACGGGCAAACTGCACATTTCATGGTATGTTGGTTGTTGTTCGTTTGGATTTGAAGTTGCCCCTTTTCTGTATAGTACATCTCATAGCAATATCATAGACCACCTACCTCAATATTTTAAGCTGGTCAAGCTGTGGAGCTAGACATAAATATGGCGCTTGTTTTTATTTTGAAGATGCATACGGATACCTAACTCAAGTGGCTAAAGATACTCATTTATTTGCCAACCAACCCAGTAATGGTTAGCATATTTGTTACAAAATCAAATTAAATTTTGAAGATTAAGATATGTTCCTCTTCTGCATGTTTTCTTTTTGCTACGTCATACTCAAAATATGCTTATATAAGCAATCCTTATTTATATTTCAGGCATTTTGTAACTAAAATTAATATTAGAATTTCACTTATAGTGCCTTTGTGTTTCAGTTCTCAGCCTAGGACATCATCAATCATGTGTATCTCAGATGATGCAGACAATGACCAGCCTGCGGAAGATCTATGCTAGTGGGTGAGATGATGAAATTTCCTCTGTTGGTGAGTCAGTATTATATTTTTTTGTCAACAACATTCATTGCCTTACATGCATTTGTGCCTTACATTTCTGTCACCAACCAGCTTAAACAAAAGTAGAAGAAATTATATACCTACCTACATTCTTTTGCTGTGTTTGACACCAGGCGATGTCCTAAAATCAGGATGCATCAGTGAGCTATAAGTAAAACTAAAATAGTTACTGATGATGTTTAAGGTGTTGCTGAAAAAGGACGTCGTTCACCGCACTTTCAAGCCTCTTCTGTTACGCGTGTTAGGAGCCACTTTTCATGGCCGAAAATTTGGTCAGAGCCACCAAAACCATTTTTACCAGCCCTGGGTGTGGGCTGCACCTGCAAGCTGGCTAGGTGTCAGGTCGCTGTGATTAACCCGGCCGGGGCGGGAGGGTAATTCTAATCACCGCGACCTGCGGGAGGGGGATCTCACCTTGTCTGTCCTTCAAATGAATAATTACGAAAACGAAAGCAACACCAAACCAAACATCTCTACAAGGCGACTCTAATGCATCTTAAAATTTTGGCCTTAGGTCAATTTACAAGGTCAGAGGTCAAAGTCAAAGGGAAAAACGACACATCTCAAACTCTGTGTTTCAGAAAACAGCAAGATGCATACAATCGGGCAAAACTTATTGCTAACAAAAGAAGACCCTCTGGCGAATCTAATGAAAAACTCAAGGCTCATCGTCACGGTCATGCTCAATATTTAATCCTCGCCCGTATTGGTGTTTTTCCAGCGACAAACGTTTAAGGGGGGGGGTCCGTTGGACCCCCCTTGCCGTTTCGACCCTGATTGAGCTAGAGCTTCGCAATAAAAACGAGTGTGTTGCCCGTGACGAGAGGAAGCTGATGATACCCAATTTTAAGGTCCTAGGTCATCGGTTGACTTTCCAGGTCAGGCCAATGACCCAAAAGTCGGGAAAATCGGGCCCTGTTAAAACGTCGTAAAACCAGGCTGCTGTGGGGTTTTTCGGAGTGCTGATCACGAATATGATGTCAGTTATGATCATAGATGACGTCTTCATGCATTTAGGCCAGGTCGGGTCAGGTCAGGTCAGGTCAACCAGTAAGGGTTTTGCCGGGTATTCGTGGTGGGTGGCAACCGCCTCTGACAGCTTCGTAACATGTTACGAAGGCACCAAAACTACTTCATAAGTAATCAAGTGGTTGCTAAATTCGAATTCAGCTCCAAAAACTAGCCTAGAAACATGTAAAACTCGAAAAGTGAACCGAGGTCATCAAAGGTCAGTGACCTGACCTGACCTTCCGATGACCTTGACACCCACGCTAATGCATGGGAGCAGCATCATATCCCATGTTTGAATACTTGAAACCACGAAAACACTGCAAACGCGCAGCTAATGCGAGCCGACATACGTCGAATCGCGATTCCGGCCAAACATGGTCTCGAAAAGTAGGTCACAATTCAAAGGTCATTGTAATCAGGGTCATGACATTTTTAGGGTAGGTGTCAAATTGATAAACC